CTTAAAAGGACAACTAATGGATCCGATTCAAAACCCAACTGGGTCGAAAATATAACCCAGGCCCAAAACATGACTCAAAACTAAATAATTTCCTTATGCTGCAACTTCCATGAATATTCTGGAATTTTGAGCTCCGAATCTGACTTCGACTCCAACATGAAAGTCGTAGCCCTCTCTTAGCTTTCCGGCGATTTTTAGAACGCCTCAAACGGATTCCCAGAACTCCAGTTATGATCGTTTCCGTGCAGACTGCTAAAGCTGAAGAATAAGCGAAAATTACATTAAACTAAAAATAAAATAAAATATGAAAACATAATAAAATATAATAATAACCAAAATAAAATAAAGAAATGCCTAAGTAAAAAGTAGGAGAAATGTGCATAAATATGCACTGATCAACAGGTGTGTTCATTGAAGTCACTCAAAGCTGTTAAGCAATAGTGTGTGTCCCTTGATCAAAGCTGTGAAGCAAGATCAATGTGTGTGGTTGAAGTGTATCTTCATAATTTTATGTAATTGTATTTGGATATCACTGAGGTGATTGAGGGGGAGTGAGTGGGAATACTCAGGTCTAGAGTGTCTCTAGGTTGAAGTGTCATTGGGTAGGTCTTAAGTGAGGAGTGCAAATTGGGATTGTTTGGCTCTGAATTAATTCTGCTGATGGTGAATTTCCTCCCTGGCTTGGTATCCCCCAGATGTAAGTGTTGTTGACACTGAACTGGGTAAACAATTACTGTATTATTTACTACTTTCCTTTACAGCTTTTTAATTATTCCAATAGTCTGTGTTACAGTGGATGTTATAACATCCGTGATAATATCCATCGTGTGCTTGCCAGAATTTCATTTTGCCTCTTGAGATAGGTGGGACATTCTGTTTTAGTGTGCCCATATCCTTTGCATTCATAATACTGAGCTCCTTTTTCTTGGTTGGACTTTTCTTCAGACTTGACTCTTTTGTCAATGTCAGATGAGACGTGTGAAATCAAGATCCTCAGAGATCAACATTTGTTTTGATGAAGATAAATTTCTCAAGAAGGCAAAGATGATCAACCATCAAGCATCAGGACAAAGATACAACTTTGAAGATGTTCTCATCTGAAGGTATAATGAGAATATCCATTAAGCATTTAAGTCCTAATTGCTCAAAGCTTTTAAAACATTTTTCATGACTTGTTGCACTCTCACAAGCTTTTGAAAACAAAATTTTTCTAAGTTTTTCCAAGTGCAATCGATTGCACTCTTAGAGCAATCGATTGCATGATCAAATTTTTAACTATTTTTTTGATTCTGTTTTAAAGAGCAATCGATTGCTTCCTTAGTGCAATCGATTGCATGCTTAAAAAATTCTCAGTTTTCACTTCTGTTTTGAAGTGAAATTGATTGCTGCCTTGGTGCACTCGATTGCTCACTGAACGTTTTTGAAAAATCCTTCTGAAAAATTGCATCTCTTCATTCAAATGTCTGTTAAATGTTTCCTTTGAAACATAACAACTGTTCATCAATTTTTATGAAGATTTGCATGATTTCATCAAGTGATATTTATGTAATATAAAAACCTAGATTTTCAAATTCAAAAATACAACTAACTTTTACATCAATTCTTTACAATCTCTTTCAATCAAAATTTCTTGAACTTTTTCTTTAAACAATTTTCACAAAGAATTTTCTGCATCAATTTCATATCTTTTGAAAAGAAAATTCTTGAGCAATAAGTCTTAGATACTTGTGGAAATTCCATTGAAAGAGAAGATTCAATCTCAGCATTGATTACCAATTATACATTGTTACAAATCTTACAAAACTCAGAATTGTATTTTAGTTTCCCCTTGTTGTTCAGGATTGTTGAAAGCAAGTGTGTGCATTAGAGAGGATTGTTCTCATTGCACTTAGTGTTTAGATCTTAAAGGTGTTTTAAGAACCTTTGATCTCCTATAGGTTAGAACAAATTGTACATTGATCCTAACTATAGTGAAATCTCTTTCGTGTTGAAAGGGGAGTGGACTACCCTCGGGGTGTGAGGGGAACCACTATAACTCTCTTTGTCTCTTTTACTTTCTGCCTTTACAAGCTTTCAAATCATCACTTCATTAAAAAGAAAGTAACATAGTCCTCTTAAAACCAGAAAATTTCAAAGAACCTAATTCACCCCCCCCCCCCCCCCCCCCGTCTTAGGCGCATTACTACTCACAAGATGTTATTGACATTAAATCTGCCCTTTTTATCTACCCTTTTCATGAGTCTGCTGACTTGTCTTCCAAGCATAGCTACAGCTTCTGAGAGATTCTCCTTGCTTCCATCATTGTCTTCATTAGAGTCTTCTGCTGAATTTGTGACAAGGGTTATGCTTTTGTTCTTCTTCTCAGCCTGATCACACATTCCCATCTCAAAGGTTTGTAGTGAGCCAATGAGTTCATCCATCTTCATATTGCATATGTCTTGAGCTTCTTCAATGGCAGTGACCTTCATGGCAAACCTTTTAGGTAAAGATCTGAGAATCTTCCTCACAAGCTTTTCTCCAGACATCTTTTCTCCCAAGGCTCCTGAGCTGTTTGCAATCTCAAGAATATTCATGTAGAAGTCATGAATAGTCTCACCCTCCTTCATTCTCAGACTTTCAAACTTGGTGGTCAGCATTTGTAATCTTGACATCTTGACTTTAGAGGTTCCCTCATGAGTTGTCTTGAGAGTATCCCAAACCTCTTTAGCCAGCTCACAATGATGCACCAGTCTGAAAATGTTCTTGTCTATACCATTGAATAATGCATTAAAAGCTTTAGAATTCCCAAGAGGCAAGGCTTCTTGCTCTTTGGTCCATTCTTCTTCAGGTATCAGCACAGACAATCCATCTTTATCAGTCTTTACTGGATGTTCCCATCCTGAGTTTGCAGCTCTCCATGCCTTGCTGTTTAAAGACTTTAAGAAGGCAATCATCCTAGGTTTCCAATAGTCATAATTAGAACCATCCAGAATTGGTGGTCTATTTGTGAATCCTATATCTTTATCCATAATACCAGAATTTATCTTCCCTAGATCTCACTCAGAAAATAACAGGTAGGGTGCCTGCTCTGATGCCAATTGAAATTCTGGCAATCACACAGTGGATGTTATCACAGATGTTATGACATTCACTGTAACACAGACTACTGGACTTACTAATAAGCTGTAAATGGAAAGTAGTAAATAACACAAGTAATTGTTCACCCAGTTCAGTGTCAACCACACCTACATTTGGGGGCTACCAAGCCAGGGAGGAAGTTCACTATTAGTAGAACTAATTGAGAGTCAAACAACCCGTTTGCACTCTTCACTTAAGACCTACCCAATGACACTTCAGCCTAGAAACCACTAGACTAGAGTTTCCCACTCACTCCCCCTCAATCACCGCAGTGATAAACAAATACACAATTACACTGGAGATAATGAAGACACACTTCAAACACACCTTGATCTTACTTCACAGCTTTGATCAAGAGACACACACTCTTACTTAACAGCTTTGAGTGATACAATGAACACACCAGTTCATACACAATAACCAAAGCAATTATACAGCATACAACTGCTTGGCACACAAGGAATCCTAAGATTCCTAAACACACGTGAAGAGCAAACCTCTTCACTCACAAGACACATTCCCCAATCTCTCTTTAGAAGCTCTACCTTCAAGCTCTCTACTATTTGGAGTGATCCTTCTGCGATTTATAGCAGCAGGCTTGCTTTGGGCCTTGATGGAGAAACTAGGTTTACCCAAGATAAACCTCTCTTCATGAAGTTGCGCCCTTATCATTAGGTCAGGAGTCTTCTATGATATCCTCAGCAATGCCTGTTATGTCGCCTAAGATAACTAGGATTCCTGAAGTATAGCCTGAGCTAATAACAGAAAAACTAACCCTGCGCGCCCTGATGTCATAACATCCAGTCATGACATTCAGCTTCACTTACTCTTAGCTCTCCCTGCAGAACACTCTTCATGTATGTCATAACATCAGTTATGACATTCATACATACATTAATGTTTTGCCATAACATGCAGCCAATCAAAAGCATCTACAACTGAGATTCTTGACTAGTTGTTATATTGTCTGACTTGTTCGAACACTTTATTGGCCTAACTCATATGTATTATGCTTTGGAAACTGTAGGAGGCTAGAAACATATGGTTGTACCAGCAGAAGCTTAAGGAGCCTCAGGTCGTGGCTTTGGAAGCGTGGGATTGTGTTTTGGAATTCAATAAGGAAAACGTGTTGGCTAAGCGTAAGAGTCAGTGCCATCAAGATGGGAACAAGAGTTTGGTGGATAGGGAGTTGACTATGATTAAAGTTGATGTCAGATGATTTGATGTTGGTTTTTCAACTTTTGGTTGTATTTTCAAGTCTTAGGATTCGAAGGTGATTTTCGCTGCGTGTAGAAAGAAGTGCATTACAATCGAGCCTGATATGGCTGAGGTCCTTGTTATCAGGTGGAGTTTGCAGGTGGCTAAGGAGCTTAACTTTGAGAGGATCTTGGTGTAATCTGATGTGTTGTCTGTGATTGATTGTATTAACTCCATTAGTTTATTGGCTGTTTTCAAATAGACAATTAATGCCCACAACTTTGTTGATTTAGATAAAAAATTTAGATCTAGGTCTTGACTTGTTGAACCCCCTATTTATACTTGTCTCTTACCCTCTCAGAATTCTTGTTGTTAATAAATTTGTTTCCTTTTTTAAAAAAAACAAGACATTGAAATAATAATTTTAAGTAGAATGTGACAATCAATAGAAATGAGAAGATGAAACTACTTTATTATGATTACAAGAAATAATAATCTAATAAAACATCAAATCAATTAAGAGACTCACTAGAGAAACAAATACACCCTTTTTCCTTTTCATTTTGCACGACAGTCACACCCTTGTAACTGAAATTTCTAAACAAAATAATCTTCAAAAAAAGAAAAAAATCAAGTTACAAACTTAATCATGCCAATAATCAAATTGTATATCTCTTAAATAGTGCTTAAAATTTAGGCAAATGTTTAGCCTTGCCACAAAACAATGCATTCAAAGGAACATTAGTCTCAGTGTATAGGCTTTGTTCATTGTTCCAAACCCTCATATACAACTCTTGTCCCAAATATCTATTTTCCCATATTGCAGACCTCAAATTCCACATGCCCTTATTGTCCAAAGACACCAATATTGCTGTCCATGATTTTGGATACACCTATTTTTTTTTTTATGCAAGAGAATTTTAATCAATCAAATGTAACAAAATTTTGAAATAAAACTAGAAATGATCAAAAATAAATTGACTCACCTGAACAGTGTGTCTTGAAATACCATCATCCAAATTGTAAGTGTTTCTCACATTAGGTGTCCATATGCCATTTCCAAATCTAAATGTATTTTAGTTCAATCAAAACAAGTTTGTTAAATAATTTTATAATGGGAAAACTTAATTAAGTTTAACTTTATTGAAAGAAAACAAATTTTCTTACCCAACAACATAGAAGCTAGATCCATCCATGTGCCATGACTGAATAGTGTTTTCATTATTCTGGAAGATTATTTCTGCAAAGTCATGAAGAGTGAAACCTACGACAGATGTTCCAAATTTGACAATGGAGCCTGGAGAAGGAGCATCCTTGATTGTGTTGAGATCGAAGATTCCGGGAATGTTGAAATAATCAGCAAGCTTCAATGGAGTGCTTGGATTGATGTGTGAAATTCCGTTTACTGCGTATCGTAGCTTTCCGTTTATGACAGATTTTGAGTTTGCCAATTGCAATATCCTCATCACAGGGATGGTTCCGTAGTGGAACGATCCCTGTGGATTTGGCCGAGCGGCATTTGCTGTCAAGTTCAGTCTTTGAAAACAATAAACAAAATAAATTTAGAATTCAGGTGATATTACGTTTTTTTTTACACACAGATTAAGAAAATACTATACCTAATGGTTCTAGCTTGCTTCATGGACCAATCTAGATCGATAGTCGGGTCAATGGGTAATTGACCCGAGACCTTACGGTTTGATCCAGAATATCGAAGCGTTGCAGTGGAAGTAAGATTAGGCTGGACGAAACGGCTCGATGCAACGATGTAATAGTCGCTAACTGATTTATCTAGTGTGACTAAAAATGTCATTGATTGTCCGACATGAATATCGAGTGACTTATATGTTTCTTGCAATGTGTGAGCACCTTCAACTTCAATGAGCTTCAATGAATGATCCTGAATTTGAAAGTTAATTGAAGTTGCTATCCCTACATTGGATACTCTGAACTTGTATGTCTTCCCTAAAATAAGTCAATTTTCATACAAATTTTATCATAAGATGCCAATTTTCTCAGTTGTTTGTTCTAACGAAAAAGAATAAACAATTGAGAAAAAATTTAAAAAATCGGAAATTGTATAAACATTCGGAAAACAATTTTGGTTTACCTGCTTCTCCTGTAAATACAGCAATATCTTTTTGACCATTTATAAGAAGAGCATCAGGTAAAGGAAGGCTTTTGCCAAGATCCAATAGTCTCCTTAGTACCTGCAAATAAATTTTACAAGTGATCAATTATTTTGAATAGATCATACATAATTTAACAGATAAATCACTCAGCTGGTAAGATAACTCATCTGATATGTGTTAGTTGAATAAATTAAATATAAATGATTTATCAGAAGTTGTTGATATTTAAGTAAATCAATTATTTAAGGGATTTTTCTTTGTACAAACCTTATGGTTGGTCTTGTACCAATCACCAATAAGTAGGGTGAATTCACCATCCGGGGCAGGATATGGAATGGCTATAACCGATCTTTGGGCAATATTGAGTCCTCCAAAACCACCAGCAGCTTTATGAATTTTGGTTGATGGGAAATATGTGTAGGTTCCAATTTGATCTTTTAATTGAAATTTGTATGTCCAGTTTGTCTTTGGAGGGATTGGACAATTTGTTCCTAAAACTCCATCTTGCCATGATGTCCTTCTTTGTTTTACACCACTCCTGTTTTATATTCCACAACACATAATTGATTAGTTAAAGACTCGATGTATCGTAATATTTTTGTAGCATAGATATCTTTGGAAAATAATTTGTCTGTGTCTATGTAGTGTTATACATCAACATCGATATAACACTGAAATTTGTAATTATTTTCAACTATTTTAAAATTATTATCAATATCGACGTATCGACGTGTCAGTATCAGTTTATATTTGTGTATGTGTTTTTACTTCATAGGATAATAATAGGGGAACCGAACCACTAACCATGTAATGAGAAATTTATCATCCAACTTGTTAATAACATTGACAACAATATTATCATTAGTGATGGCATCAATTGTAGGGCCTGGAAATTGGCCATTGATAAGAATAGCCTGGTAAAAAAAAGTAAATAAATATCATTCATTTTTCCAAATGTGACATTTTAAAGAGTTGAAAATAAAAAATAGACCAACCTCTTGAGGAACACCAAGAGGAAAAATTGTTCCTTTAGTAATTTCCCATGTGAAAATCAAAGATCGATCTTCCGCAATTACCGAAAGCGTACTCCAGCACGCCAAAACTCCAAAAATTATTGGAGTTAAAATGACCTTCATGTTGCTTTATAAATTAAATACCTGTAAAGTTTCCATTGAAGTTACTGTAAAATGTTCCAACAATACTATACCAGCCAAAAATCTTGCATGCAAGAAACTACATAAGAAAAGTAAAATGTTCCAACAATACTATACCAGCCAAAAATCTTGCATGCAAGAAACTACATAAGAAAACAATGCTTTAAGAGTTAGATTCAATGAAGAATTTAGAACGTACCAAATTAAAAAAAATAAATAGATAAGTTCCTCTTGAATAGAGGAATTGAGAATGTGAAGTGATGTTAGAATGAAGCATATAGTGATTAACTCAAACCTATATATTACTCATTTTTTGTTTTATTTAATATTTTCAAAATTAAATGCCCATGTTACGAAGTTGACTATTAAAAAGTTCTTGAAGTAAGCAAGATCCTACCGCGTAAATTATATAAAAAGTTGTTAATAATAAGGACTTATTTTTATCGTTGATTGCTTTAGATTTAGGAGAAGATTGAAAAATGTGAAGTAAAATGAGTTGGATTTTGCAGTGGAGATCTCATGTACAAAGCGGTTGCGACGCAGGCGATAACGGATCCTCATTTATTAGTTTTGGTTTTATATTATTGTTTGAGTAAATTCTACGACCTTACATCAAATCTATAATATATAATACTATTAAATTCTCTTCATAATTGTTATTATTTCAATTGAAGTTTCACAAACAGCTGCAAGCTAGAACACGGAGAGAGAGTATGCATGCATGATGATGAGCATGAAATTTCCTTGAACCTTTAACTTTTTCTTAATGCAAGTTGATTATTTTTAGTAAAAGACTTCATTTCTAATTATATTGGCATGTTTAAGGTCAGTAAGAGCATTACATTGCATGGAAATGGAAATATTGAGAAACATATAAATGGAATGATTCTAATATTTAAAATTTTAAGATGGCACAGCGGGCGAATATTCTGATTAGATCCGTTTTATTTAAGCCCGTCTAAAATTGAGGTGGGGTAAAACAGGTTAACTTATGTATTTGAATTTAAAAATCAAACTCGTCTTATTTTTTAATGAGTTGACAGACCGACCCACCAATTTTTTATGATTTAATTTATTACATAATTTAAAAAAATTTAATTATTATAAAAAAAACTGTAAAAAAGATATTTGTCAACTAAAGCATAATTGGATTTAAATATATTTTAAACTTCAAACAATTCGAAAGATAAAATAAATAAAAATCTATTACAAGAAAAATATAATGAAATAGTTTCAAGTATCAGAACAAAAATCAAATCAAAATAAATAAATAAATAATATCACATACATCTTAATCCTATTTAAAAATTAATTACTAAAATAATCCAATTAAGAATTTACACAAGACACAGTGATAACAATTACATTACATAAAACATCACAGTGCATAAACAGCAGCGCATACAATATCAACCTCTGGTTTTCTCACTGCTTACAACATATAGATTCTTATATTGACCAATTCCTTAATAGTTAAATTCTAAATTTGTCATACGTATACACTAATCAAATCCTTTATTTTCTTAAAATTTAGCATATATTTCTAAAGAAAACAGTGTCTAATGTATTGACAGCTTAATAATTTTCCATGCCATACAACTGTTCTTTTATTTCAAACTTTTCCAACCAACACATGTATGAAAGTTATAGATAAAGTCTTACACTTATCATTCAATTTGTATTTACAATAATCTATAATGCAATGTAATTCAATTTGCTTTAATTCTGAGTATAAAAAAAAGTTTTAACAAAAAGTCTGCTCGCAAACCCTGCGCCCACTCTATTTTGTAAATGGTTAGGCGGGGTGGGTCAACTTTGTTGGAATTCAACCACAATTTATGAATAATTCCTACTCAACCTTGATCTCAAGATTATTAATAACACAATGATGATGAAAAGATTGAGAAAGAGAGAAAAAGAAATAACGTTGGAGAAGAAGATGAAAAATTCTGCAGAGAACTCTCTACTCACAAATTGTGAATACAAAATATGAATTGTTTTGTTTACAAAATAAGGGTTTCTCCTTTTTGGTGATTTTCGGTGGTTGGTGTGAATATTGAGAATTATCGATTTTGAGTTATTTATTTAATTAATAGTATATAATATGAATATAGTGGTATTGTTATTAATTTAAATAAATATAAGTGCATTGAGGGCAAAGTGGACTTTTGAGGAGGAGTTAGTGAGGGTGAAATGGGAAAGCCCATTTTAAGGCATAAAGTTAGGTTTAACAAAAAGGAATTTTGAGGAAATTAGGATTCATTCTTGTTAGACCGTGAAAAGGAAAGAAATAGAGGTCAAAGCTCTGAGAAAGAGAATTGAGGCAAAGCTTCGCGAGGTTTCCAAGAATCAAGGAGAAATACTTAGAGTCGGAAATTAAGGTATGGGGAGTATTACCTTCATTGTTTTCAATATATGATTCAATGTATTTAAAGCCGATTTAAAGATTTAGGAGATTTTGAGTTTGAGGAAACTAGGCCTTCGTGGCCAAATCTATTTTTGAAATTGTTTAAGTATGGGGAGTATTACCTTCATTATTTTCAATATATGATTCAATGTATTTAAAGCTGATTTAGTCGTGGATGTCGTCGAGGACTTTTTGGAGTTTTTGACATTTTGGGTTGACTTAGAGGGTCCTGCTCTGATAGTGTAACATCGGGTTGGGATTTTTGACTTAAACCATGTTTTATTGATTTTTGTTATTTTGATTATGTTGTTATGCAAGGAAAACTTTGGATTTGCCATTTTGAGTTCCGCTGCCATTTGAGCAATTTTTGAGTAATTTTGGAAAAACCTGTTGTTTACAAAGCATTGACTTTGATTTGAATTATTGAGAAATGTACGCCCTTCGAGGTGATTTTTATTATGTTTAAAATATTACTCTGATAAATGTGAATGACTTCTCATTATATTTTTGGGGTAGAAAAGGGTGTTACATTAATTGTATCAGAGCCTGGTTGGTCCATCCGGCCAAGTTGTCTAATGTTATTTGTTCTCTAGTATGTGACATGTGTGTGAAAACACTGTCGGTACACGTTCATTTTCTAACCTTTGTCTGCAGAAGTGGGAATGAAACAAGTGGGGGAGAAGCTTGTACTTCTCCAGTATGCTTCAAGTGTGGAGTGGTGGCTCAATGTGTCGATGAATGCTCTTATAGTTTGGTAAAGATGGTTTATGTCCCATCATGATTTTCGGTTGCTTATTGACAAATTGAGGAACTGATCACCCTTAATCTCTTGTTGATAGGAGACAGAGTCATGTTGGATGGGATAGACGTGTCTTGAAAGCTTAGATGGCGTGTGCAGTGAATTGTTTTAAGTTAAGCTAAATGCTTACAGATTGTTTTGGTGAGTCGGTGCAGGATGGTGCTAAGATGTTTATTTTGATGGAAACTTTGAGTGTTAATAAAGTGGGGAAGTTGGTGGTGTGCCAATTATTTATGATTATCCGGAATTTTTTCCTGATGAGATGAGTGATTTACCGCCAGAACGTGAAGTGGAGTTTACGATCGACTTAGTTCCTGGAACTAGTCCGGTATCAATGAATCCATATCATATGTCCACATCGGAATCGAAGAAGTTGAAGAGTCAACTTGAAGATCTGCTTGAGAAGAGATTCATTTGTCTGAGTGTGTCACCATGGGGTGCACCAATTTTGTTGGTTAATAAGAAAGAAGGTTCTATGAGGCTTTGTATGGATTATAGACAATTGAACAAGGTGGCTATTAAGAATAAGTATCCACTTTCAAGAATTGATGATTTGGTAGATCAGTTGGTTGTTGCAAGTGCGTTCAGTAAGATAGATTTGAGATCTGGGTATCATCAGATTCGTGTGAAGGCTGAAGATATTTAGAAGACTGCTTTTAGAACGAGGTATGGATATTATGAGTATTCTGTGATGCAATTTGGTGTGAATAATATGCTACGTGTATTTGTGGAGTACACAAACAGGTTTTTTCCATCCGTATTTGGACAAGTTTGTGGTTGTGTTCATTGATGATATTTTGATATATTTGAAGAATGAAGAGGATCATGCTGAGCATCTGAAAGTTGTGTTAGCAATGTTGAAAGAGAAGCAGTTGTATACTAAATTTCTAAGTGTGATTTTTGGTTGAAAGAAGTGAGGTTCCTTGGCCAGGTGATCTCGAGTAGAGATATTGCAGTTGATCTGTCGAAGGTTGAAGTTGTATCATAATGGGAAGCTCCAAAATCTATTTTTGAGATTAGAAGTTTTTTTGGGTTGGCAGATTATTATCAAAAAGTCATTGAAGGATTTTCCAAGTTATCTTTGTCGTTGATGCGGTGGACTAGGAAGGTTAAAGCTTTTGTTTTGGATGCAAAGTGTGAAGAAAGTTTCAAGACCTTTTGAGAAGGCTGAAAACAGCTCATGTTTTGATTTTTCCGAATTCGGCAGAACCATTGTTGTATATTGTGATGCTTCATTGATGGGATAGGGAGGTGTGTTAATGCAATATCGGCATGTTTTAGCTTATGCTTCAAGGCAACTTAAAATGCATGAGAGGAATTATTTAACGCAGGATTTAGAGTTGGTTGTTGTTGTGTTTGTGTCGAAGCTTTGGAGGCATTATTTGTTTTGTTCGAGATTTGAGATGTTTAGTGATCATAAGAGTTTGAAGTATTTCTTTGATCAGAAATAATTGAATGCGAGGGAAAGGAGATGATTGAGACTTCTGAAGGATTATGGTGTTGGTTTGAATTACCATTCGGATAAAGCAAGCGTGGTAGCTGATGCATTGAGTAGGAAATCTTCGAATATACCGATGATGATGGTAAAAGAGTTAGAACTGATTAAGCAATTTCGTGATATGAGTTTGGTTTGTGAAGAGACTTCTTATGGAGTTAAGCTTGGTATGTTGAAGCTTACTAGTGATATTCTTGATGAGATTCGAGAAGGTCAGAAATCTGATTTGAGTTGGTAGATCGGTTGAATTTGATGAATCAAAGTCGAAGAGCTGATTTTCG